TAAGTTAATCTGCGGATGCACTAATATGTAGTCTATACCAAAAGAGTTTTTATTTTCCAAAGAAGCCTCAACATCATGTTTTAAATGTGATTTGAAGATATATTTATCAATGATTCTTGCTTCCCAGGGACTGCATTGAGTGTATCCTGTTCAACTCAGGAAGGCTGGCTGATAACCAAACCTGCCAAAAACACTGCCGGGATGAAATTATAACACGAGTAGATTTTCTTAGTAAGTACCACCAAAGTGAAAACCATGGAAACATTGTACATATAAAGTGTGTGAATCATAGGTGCATTCCTGACAGAGAGAGGGTAAAGCTGCCATAATTTGTATTTGATGCCGTAAGTTCTTGGCTCATTTGGGTAGGATTCTTTTTGAGCCTTTTGTGCTGTTCACACGTTCAGTAACTGGAGGAAACTTTCTGAAATATTTAAGAGTGCTTTGCATAACAATAACAGAAGTAAGCAATGTATTTATCATTTATTAAATCTATTTATATAGCCACCTATTTGATACAAAATAAATAAGGAATAAGGCACACACATCAGCTGGAAAATCATGAAAAAGCCCTTAAGCCGTGCCCCGTTGCACATCTGGACTGTAGACTTGAGCACAGAGCCAGGTCTTCAGGACCCTGCAGAAGGCCAGCCTAATCTCTGGAGGGATAGAATAGAATAGAGCTGGAAGGGACCTTGGAGGTCTTCTAGTCCAGCCCCCTGCTCAAGCAGGAGAACCTATACCATCTCAGACAAGTGACTCTCTAGCCTCTTTTTAAAAATCTCCAGTAATGGAGCGTCCATGATTTCTGGGGGCAAGCTGTTCCACTGGTTAATTGTCCTCACTGTTAGGAAGTTTCTCCTTAATTCCCGGTTGCTTCTCTCTTTGATCAGTTTCCAAGCCTTTGATCATCTTAGTTGCTCTTCTCTGAATTTTTTTTCCAAACTCTCAACATCTTTTTTGTGATATGGTGACCAAAATTGGCTGCAGTATTCCAGGTGTGGTCTTACTAAGGTTTTATAAAGCGGTGCTAATACTTCGAGTGATCTTGATTCTATGCCTCTGTTTATACAACCCAGGATTGTATTAGCTTTTTTGGCTGCTGCTGCACACTGCTGGTTCATGGTTAAGTGATCGTCCATTAGGACTCCAAGGTCCTTCTTACACTTACTGTTTTTAAGCCAGGTCTTGCCCAATCTGTACTTGATGATGTTCCAGAAGGTGGGTACCCATGGCAGAAAGGACTCTTATGGCGCTTGGCCAACTAACACTCCTTGGATGATGGTACCCTCTTGCCAGAACACATAGGACAGATGGGAGAGCCAGGAAGAGGCAGTTGTCTTATGTTTCTACCTAACTGAATATTGGACTACAGAATGTTGAGAAATCTTTGTTTGCCATTGACCAGGGGTGTCAAACTCGCAATGTCACATGACATGTTGCGACATATTGTGACTTTTTTTCTATTGCTGGCAATGGGGTGGGCACGGTTTCAGCATGACGCATCTGGCCTGTGGGCCGGCAGTTTGACACCCCTGCCATAGACTGTCAAAGCAGAAAGTTCTGCACTGAACATCCTTAATGTTCATTTTATATTCCACTGTCTCAATCCAGCACCTTTCTGGATTATATAGGTGATATTTGTGGAATGCACGGATGAGAGTCAAACAGAGATGAGGCTAAACAATCTTTTTAGTCCATTCCAATATTGAGTTTAAATAATTTAAATTTGGGAGTATTCATATTTCAACTCAGTTTTCTTTTAAAAAAAAATCTTTTCTTTTTACCTCATCTTTTTTCTTACTTGCTGTTAATGCTGAAGTGGAGACCATTCTGGTGTTGCTCTTTATCCATGTATGACCTCTGTTATTTTGATTCCCTCTTCCCTCTTCCAATATCACAAGGAACAGTATTTGCTAATATAAATGTATTGCAACACTCTTTTCTTTCTTTAATCTATGGTAGATATGTTTCTATCACTCTTGAGGGCAAGGGTGAGTTTGACATTCCTTTGGCTATTTGCATAGGGTTTTAATATCAATTCTGCTTTCAGTCTTTTGAAGAAAACGTAGTTCTTCATTAGTGGCATCTAGAAATGCAGTAGAGATTTTGTGGCAGCATATTTTAATAATAATTTTACCTAGACTATTTAGCTGAAACCTTCCTTTTTCTGTAAATACAATAGCTGAATGTAGATAACCCTAAATGATAGTCTTTATATTAAGGCTGGTTTCTAAATTCACATATTTAAGCTCTGCAAAGATAACCTAGCTAAACATTGTACAGGCTTGCACAGAAAGGCCTTCCAGTACACGGAGAAAATTACAAATGGTTCAAAGGCCAAATCTGCAGAATGATTTTCTTATCTGCCCTACTGGCAGGATAATAAATATATATTTTTTCACCTCTGGTATGATCTTTAAAGATGGAAGCATCGGCTTTTGGTGGACAGTTGCAGTTGGATAACCTATATGAGGAAGCAAGAGAAGAAAAATAAGATAATTACAGCTAATGATCTGCCGTTTAATTTGCAATATTACTTGTGTTAACATTCCACAACAAAACAAAAGATGCACAGTCCTGGGGGTGTTTGGCTGAAACTCTGCCCAGTTCATTGTTGTTTCATTTGAGCTGTGGTGGCGCAGTGGTTAGAATGCAGTATTGCAAGCTAATTCTGCTGACTGCCAGGAGTTCGATCCTGACCAGCTTAATGTTGACTTCCATCCTTCTGAGGTCAGTAAAATGAGGACCTAGATTGTTGGGGACAATATGCTGACTCTGTAAACTGCCCAGAGAGTGTTGTAAAGCACTATGGAGAGATATGTAAGTCTCAGTGCTATAGCTATTGCTATTTCAAATAAGCATGTCTAGAATAATGCACCCAAAATATTTAAAATTTTAACTTTATAGGCAACAAAAGTTCTGCATAAACTAAAGGAAATGTAACAGTGCCCAGAGATTATATGAATTAACAGAAACTAGGCTAAGAAAGCGCCTCTGCCCTGTGACAAAATCCTCACTGAATTTATCAAATACTTACCATTTAATTTTTCATGTTTTATAAAGCTAATCTTGTCTCCAGGTAATAAATAGGAGGGGAAATGATCTTAAATTGCCTGCAAGAATTTATAGAATTTGAACTACATCTCTAAAACAAAAGATACATTGAGAGGGGAAGTAACCTACAAGGGGCAATCTTCTAAAATCAGATAATGTAATGATATTCTAAATCTGCATTTTCATGACAGCAGCCTGACCTTATACAGTATATTCAGTAAAAAATGGTTGAGACAGCTGCCACCCACTTTACTTAATTCCTGTTTCATTTCTCCTTCTACGTCGGCAACTTCCACCTTTGTCCTCAGTAATTATCCCTTTACCCATTTTGAATCTCAAATTATTCAGCACTTTTTGGGGATTGCAAGTGGATGGATTGTAATTTTGATCACATCTTTGTCAGCACTTTGTTGCCACTCCTCAGAATGGGACTTTGGAATGTTGAAAAGTGAGGTCAAAAGACAGTGGGCAAAAATTAGGAGAGCATATGACTGTTTATGTCTGATGTCATGGTTATAATCTTTTTTTCCACCTCTAATTACTAAAGCTTCGTGTCTTAGCTTGAATGGAAGGAACTCTGACACTTGTTTTACAGTCATTAAGTTGAAAAGCAAAAGAGATTGATAAAAGAGATAATCAGGAAGCCTATAGGTTTACTGGTAAAGGAAAATTAGAAAAATGTATTTGATAGTTGTTACAATGACCCACAAAACTGTTTCTTGTTGCAGTTATGGGGAAACACCTTTGCTGTGGGGTCCTTGGTGCTCCCTGAGCTTGGTTGTTTTCTTTCAGACGTTTCATTATCCAATTGATGATGTTACCTAGTTGGGTAATGAAACATCCTCAGGTAAACAACAAAGTTCAGAGAACACCAAGGACTCCACGGTTGAATACTGAGCTACAAATGTTTTCTTCCATAAATACCGCTGCTTTGTGTTCTGGCTTCCTAAAATAAACTTTTTTCTGTATATACTCCCAATGGCATTTCCATTGCAGTTTGAGTTTGTATGAATTAAGACTGAATGGGAATCCACTATTGCAGGGGTCTTCAAACTTGGCCCCTTTATGACTTGTGGACTTCAACTCCCAGAATTCCTCAGCCAGGCACGCTGGCTGAGAAAATTCTGGGAGTTGAGGTCCACAAGCCATAAAAGGACCAAGTTCGAAGACCCCTGCGCTATTGTTTGCAAAATTCCATGTTTTTTGCAAGAACTCTTAGAATCCTGCAGGATTCATTTAGGAAATCTATGAGAACTTGGCCAAGGATCCACTGAGCTGCAAAAGCAATGAGTTTGGTGCCAAGCGCCATGAGAGCAATCAATTCATAATTTCATTGAGATGTTTGAATCTCTATGTGTTCAGGCTGTTTGACGAGTAGCAAAGGCTCACCCAGTGTATACTATAGATGAGCAGGGAAGAATTTGAGTCCTCAACATGGGGTCACTATAGGAACAGACACAACATACTGAAGAATATTTAAATGACCTCTTTCTTTTATAAAAATTGCCCAGAATGCAGCAACCTGGGTGACAAGTGGCACTTTGTGGATGTGTGGTAAAATAATTGCATTGTCAATTATTTGTCATCCAATTCAAGCCATACAGGCTAGGCCCCACTGTAGAACTGATGCCTCCTCGAGTCTGCTCCATGTTTTGAGCACAGTAACTGGATTTGTTCAAGATCTCATTGTAGGTACTTTTAATATCCTTTTGTTTAATGGGTCAGTTTTAGCAAATAATCTTCAATTGTAATTGAAGCAATTTATATCGTTTGGAGGGGATCAGAGCAACATTTGGTGTTGCCTCTTTTGATTTTTTTTTTATTAATTTTAGTTTTTTTTCTTGGAACCTGCCTAGTGTGTATTTTTAAGATAATAATATACTTAGTAATAACAGTGCTTAACGTTTTCTGGTCAGAACTAGAAACAGCTGCCAGGTGTCTTTATTTCCCAAAAGGCTAAATAGTTTTTAAAAGGACTGAAGTCTGTGTAAGTAAAAAAAAAAAAAAAAAANNNAAAAAAAAAAAAAAAAAAGTAGACCTACCTGAAAACATATCACTTGCCTGTCTCAACCGATCCCATGGAAAGCTTTAATTAACAGATTAGTTTAATGTTGTCTGTTGATTCCTCTGTAGTATTTTTGCATCATATATTTCTGTAACACATATCATCCAATATTGTAATTCTCCTCACTTCCCACTCCCTGCACCTAGAAAGAGGCTGTAAAATTAAACCTATTTCTAGACAATTACTTCCTTTATGCAGATTTGTAGAAGGAAATGAAACTTCCTCTTCCAAAGAAATTACTCCAAAAATCAGGTTTCCTTGGCCTTCTTTCAGGACCTCATAATAATTATTGTTTTAGTAGAGTATAACCTCGTCAACGTTTCCTCTGCATTCCCTGAGTGATGTCTATCCATAGATTTATAAACAATTAGTCATGAAGTAAGGCAATTGGATTGGACATCTCATCCAGCACACTCTCTCTGTTAATAGTTTGCCCAGTTTTAGACATGTGAACTCTTCCATAATATGCTCCACATGTACTACTAATAAGAAGGCTCTCATATTGAAGGAATCCAGAGTCTCATGAGACTCCTAGCATATCCTCCAATTGCAGAGGCCAAAATAGCAGGTATTTTAAATACACTATGATGCACTGAACACATGCCAACAAAGCAAGCATGGAACATGAGTTTTGCGTTTGAATACCGTATATTGCAATGTATTGCATTAACACCCTTTATTCCACTGAGATTTTTAATGTTATTTCAGAAACCGATGACCCTAATTCAATCTTATGTGCTTATCCGGTGAAGGATTGTGTAATGAAATTCACATACTCAGAACTCACCAATGGAAAGACAAATATCAGTGTTCTCAAGGAACCAGGTATTTATTTATCTGCTTGCTTTTTCTTATTGATGTAAACTCTTCGGACCAGCAAGGCAACAAGAATTGTCAAAAAACAAATTACCTTAGAATGGTGCAGGGACCAGTTTTCATTAGTAGAAAAATATATGTGGATCAATTCTACTCCATTTTTTTTTTACAGAAAGTGGGTGATCTAAATATTGAAAAGAAAGACGGCTATTGGTAACACAAGGGACATTTGAAAAACCCAGACCCGCAGTTCGATAAGATAAAATTCAGAAAGATTATTTAGAAAGGGGGTTATTAATTCCAGCATTTGAAAAGCTGACACCCATCTCCAGGTCATGTGTCCCAAGGATGACAAGATAATTTCAAAGGCACATCTTACTTCTTAGCATGCTTGTGCTGCTTTCAGGAAGATTTCAATCTGGAAATAATAAACTGATTTGGACATAAAATGAAGGCATAGAACTTTGTCATCAAATATAAATTAGCAGTGGAAATCTTCCTTCCTTTAATTAGTGAAGGGCTCCTAGGGCAAAAGTTATGGCACAAAAACTGCTTCAAACTTTATTGTCTAACCGCTGCACACAGTTAGTTCAAGCTTTTCTCCAGCAGATGGTGGTGTAGAGTCCACAGGATGGGTTATTGATGCAATCCTGCTTAGCAGAACTAAGACAAGAAAAAACTCTTGCCACGCCTCCCTCTGGGCGTGCCTTCCCCAGTTTTTTGTCTTAGTTCTCAGCTTAGCAGACGTGTTTTTCTTTGCTCCGCAAGGCTCCAGACTAGGCCTAATAGCCTTTTTTTACTTTTTTCCATCTTATCTTTCTGATTCTCTTGACTCTTTAATTTT